GAGGTATAGTAATAGTTGGGAGCATCTCTTGGGGATTATATACCTGTGAGTATAGGAGCTGTGGTGTGTGAAAAGTAACTATAGTATAATTTGATTTCTGAAGCCATCTTGGAAAATCAGTAGTTAACAGTAAGGTATTTTAGGAGAGTGAGTGTGCCTGGGGTTTGTGGACTTTGGCATATGACTGGTTGTGTGTGAATGGCTTCAGACAAGAAGTATTCAAGGTGTCCGTGGTAAAGGAGGCAGTCTTAAGTTTGTTTTCACAATGAAGGTTTAATTGTGAAGATTCAAGCAGCACAGTTAGTACAGGTTGTTCAATTCCAAGTGGCCTTTCTGGGAACAAAATACTGCTCTTTTAGAGTAAACTCTATATTGATGCTTGTCATGGTCAATAAACTTTAGAACATAATCTCTTTAGTGGCAGGAATTGTGGTTGTCTCATCTATTGCTGTCTTCTCAGCAGTTAGAACATAGTGGGCTCTTTAAGAATTTCTGATAACTAATTGGGTGGTTTGCTGACTGATTACTGGACACTATAGAAACAGACTGGACCACTGGTTCTCAACTTTTTTTTAACCTCAAGATACCCAGGGGTTATGCCTTGTTTCCACTGTTATTGTGACCATACTACAGCAATGAGTCACTGGTTTGCAGGGATGGAGGGCTATTTCAGAATCTCTGGGTAATTTGAAATGTCTCTAGTTGTGATTATGTTGTTTCCTTCTTTGCACGCCCTCTTACTTGAGAATCAGTGAGTTATAGCATGCCACAGTCCAGAAGTGATTTCCCTTATATTTTACAATCTGTTCCTCTCAATGCTTTGTTTGTTTTCACTGGACTTTACTGATGCACAGAGAAGAACAGGTATCTTCTTCATTTTTTGTCTTGTTTAACAGAAAGTATCAGATTGTTTTGTTCTTCCCTTAGCTTGTTCCATGAGCTTTGTGAATGATGTTCCATAGAGTAACCTCACAGATGGTTTTAAATTTAAAAGTTTCTTTCTCTTACAGCCGGATGCGTAGTGATGGTTTTGATGAAGAAACTCAGAGAGACTACTGGAGGCCAAGGCATGAAATTTCTGGGACACTGGAAGATGATTTTCTTAAGGCTAAATCTTGGAACAAGAAGTTGTATGATTATGAAGCTAATATGCCAGACAGGTTTGTGTGTCAAGTTCCTATGACTTTCAGTGAGATCTGGCCTGAAAATGTGTACTTTTAAAGATTTATTATCCTTACAAAAACCTGTCATCTTCATAGCGGCATTATTCATAATAGCCAAAAAGTAGAAACAATCCAAATAGATGTCAATTGATGAATAGCTAAGTAAAATGTGATATATTCATACAATAGGCTACTATTTAGCAATAAAAAGGAATGAAATACTGATAAACTACAACATGGATGAACTTTGAAAACTTATGTGAAATGTCTAGAACAGGCAAATCCATGGAGACAGAAAGTAGGTTAGTTGTTGCCAGAATGGAGGGGTGAAATGGAGTGTGACTACCATTGGGTATAGGCTTTCTTTTTTGGGTGATGAAAATATTCTGAAATTAAGTGATAACAGCTGCACAACAATATACTGCAATTCACTGAATTTTACACTTTAAGAGGGTGAATTTTATGGTACCAATAAATTATGTATCAATAAAGCTATTATTAATAAAAAAGTTAATAGTCCCAGTTTAGAAGGCATTGTTATGGTAGAAATGCTGCATAGCTAAAGAAGAGTATCAAAGTCCCTTAGTGTTTCTTAAGGAAGAGAATGGCAAGTTTTCTTAATGGACAGAAATTTTGAATGAGTAGTATGCAGCACAGAAAATGTAGCCAATGAGGTTACTGTGCAATAAGGTAGGTTTGGCTCTACCATATCTTTTTTTTCTGTGTGTATGCATGTACTCTTAGGTCTCTAATTTTGTTTTAATTTCTAAAAATGTATGCACTGCTTTAACAACAACATGTGTAACATGTTACATTACAGATGGGGTCACAGTGGTTATAAAGAGTTATACCCTGAAGAATTTGAGACAGACAGGTAAGGCACATAGGGTTACTGAAAAAAAGTTTGAAACTCAGATTAGTACAAAGTCTGTACTATAAATTGAATTCGTAACTTTTACAAAGAATATAACATCATTTATTATTGACAATGTAACTAAAGAAACAACAGATAATTTAGTTGGGAGATAACTGGTATTATATTTTCCCTTTCCCTGATGTTTGGAATGTCTATAGACTTTAGGCTTTTCATTATGTGTAGTATTACATTTAATTACTGAGTGTGGCAAATTAGTAGTATTATCTTCATTTTAAAGATGAGAAAACAAAAACTCAAGAGTAAGAGTAGGTAAAGTCTGAGTAACTTTATTTAAAGGTTTAATTTAAAATTAAAATGTGAACCCAACTCCCTAGCTAGAATGCAGGATATTAAAATGTAAATATATCTTCTCTTTTCTATAGTAAAATTTTCTCTTTTTTACTTTATTAGTAGTGATCAGCAAGATGTTATCAATGGAAAAAAGAAATCTCCTCAGGTAAAATCAACTACCCATGAATCCCGCAAACATAAGAAGTCAAAGAAATCCCACAAAAAAAAGCAGAAAAAAAAGTCACATAAGAAACAGAAGAAAAGCAAAAAGGAAGCCATAGATGTAACAGCAGATTCCTCAAGTGAGATCTCAGAAGAAACTGAAGCTTCCAGTACCAGGAAAAGGAAACAACCACATAAGCGTAAGAAAAAATCCAGGAAAAAGTCTCTCAAAAAACCTGCTTTGTTCTTAGAGTCAGAAAGTGACACTTCTCAGTCAGAAGACTCAGCATCGGGCAGTTCTGAGGACAGTCAGGAAAGAGACACTAAGAAAACCAAAAGGAAAAAGAGAGATAAAAAAGTTCATATCCCTGTGAATAATAGTGAAATACAACAAAGGACAAACAAACGCACAAATTGGAAAGTGGCTACAGATGAAAGGTCTGCCGAGAGTTCAGAGGATGACTGAATGAGAAGGTCCATTCTTCAGTTTCCCACATGACTGTCTTTACAGCCCTACCTAGGGGCTTTGCCAGTGACTCTTAATTCAGCACAGGGGGCCTGAGGTCAGAGGTCTTGTGCCATCTGTATACATTTGGACAGACTTCTATTTTGGCCTGTTAAACTTGATCTCCTTTTACTGTTAATAGGGCATCTGGTATTTTGTTATGAAGGCTCCTTGAAAAGATTATTATTATTTGCAATTAATCATGTTTAGTTTAGAGTCCATATATAGTAAATTAAAGGACCCAGCAAGCTGAATCCAATAATGGCCTGGGCACACCTATTGAAATCTTGAATTTGGGGAAAACAAGAGGTGGATTGGAACCAGTGCTGATTAGAATGGTAAGACAAGGGAATATTGTCTTGTGCTAATCTTCCTTTATATAGCAGGAAACAAAAACTTGACTTGTTTCCAGCTTTGGTGCTTTGACCCTTCTGTATTTTGCTCCTGTAGGTGTTATCCAGTTTATTTAATGAGAAAATGGTCATAAGAACAAACCTTTTTCCTTCTTAACATCTGTAGATAACTATTGATACAAGGCCCTAAGGTTTTCTCAGTCAAACTTTCCCTGCTGGACAGGGTCTATACTTAATACACCGCTAAATATGCTAATTGGTTAATTAAGTGACGTTTTCTAGTTCCATTGCTGGATATCACCTAAATGGACTTGTGTTAGAGAGTATTTCTTCAGTTATCTTAGATAATCCTCAACCAACTGGAGACAAATTAGGAATTAATCCTGCTGTCTAATGGTGCTCTGAACAGGATTTCAGGGTTGCAACTGCCATTTAAAGGTGGTTTTCATGTTCATTTCTAATCTATTAATGAACTTAAGATTTTCCTTGAAACTTAGTCAGTTCCCAAATGAAACAGGCTTCTCAGGGACAGATCCATTTCTTCCCAGTCTGCCTTTAGGTTAAAGCACAAGGCAGAGACTACAATTCTGATGTCATACTATGATCCCTAAGATCTTAAGTATTAAAAGCCCCAAATATCACCCTTAGAAGATAGGTAAAATACAAGTAAATTTTTTCATTATGGGAGAAAAGCTATCACTTTCTCCATGTGTAATACAGAAAGACATTTCATGGTAGCATAACATACAACACCAGCAATAGAATACAACTACGATGACATTCCATGGGGTGGTAGTATTTTGTAGTTCTCACTACTAAATTTATTCACTTTACAGAACAGATTTCTAATAAAGTGTTCAGTCTTAACTTGGTTGGCCAGAGGTTCCCTATCTCTTAATTATGAGCAGGTGCTACCTTATGGGTTATTTATATGAAATAATACTCTGGCACTGAACTGTCCATGGTCCACAATCTATATTTTTATCCTTGGCATTAATAGGGGCTTAAGGGGATAGGTAAGTCTCTAACCTTTACCTCTTAACCTAAAGCAACTATTACATTCTTGGAGCAAGTGAAATCCTCATTGAAAAGAGTTTTTATCATGTATTTTTAGCATTGTTTCTGCACTATGAAAAGTACTGTTCTGATTGCAAGTACAGACTCCAGAAGGTGGGCATGTGGAACAAGGCATCTCTAGGAACTTGGCTCTATTTTGATCATAACCCTCTCCCCTTCCAATACTGGCAGGCCTGTCTTTTTTCCAACTAGTACTGCATCTTGCCTGTTCTTTTTTTTGGCCATGTTTACCTTTTCTTGGTCATGTTGTTCTTCACCTGTCTCAACCCCAAACTCTCCTTTTTGCCTTAGCTAAAGCGTTGATGGTTCTTTTAGCCCCCTTATATATAGCTTAGAACGGCTCTTCAAAACTAAGATCTCCCATTTGCCCTAGCAGCCTTGGAACATACTTATTTCTAGTGTTCCTACCAGTCAGAGATCTCTGTATTAATTCAATACTAAAATGGGATTAAAAAAAGACTTAAGAGAATTCACATTTATTGAATAACTGATGTGATACAATCTGGAATTTCTGAATTCCAAATAAATTTCACTTTTTGAACATTTGATCTGTTAACTTTTTAGCACCAAGAAGCTTGGCAACACATGATGTTGACCTGACAATGAGATGACATCCTTACCCCACTGGCACTTTAATAATAAGTCCTTTGCTTCTTCAGTCTTGTTCCCAGGAGATGGCCTACTGCCCTCCTTTCTGTACAATCTGGGCAAACCGACTGGTGATGGCAAGGGTAGTATCAATGAAGCGGTCCACACAGCTAGAGAGACAATTTTCAGTGCGAGAGTCTAGGCGATTTCCTGGCTTCTCTACACACTTATCCCAACATAGCTCCATGAAATGATGTACCTAAGAGGAAAGAAAAATAGTAACCATTGGGATATAGGCCCAACTGTGCCCAATTTCATATCTTTTCCCAGTGTCCTCATTTTCTGTTACTTGACAAAAACGTTCTTTTAATCAAAACACCATGGAGTCATTCATTATAGGCTTTCTTTCCTCACTTTATCATCAACATGGCCCAGGTCCTCATCCCTAGATTGCAACAAAATCTTTTTTCTTCTCTGTAATAATAATAAAAAAAACATTTTCTATCAAGTAACCCCAGTGTTTGCTTAAGGAATCAACCTTAAATTTCTCTGCTAGCTGCACAAGGCACACCCCTTTACAACCACCAATCAATACTTTTTCAATGAGGCCCATTCACAGTATGCTCAACTTGACTCTTAATGCTTCTGGATGCCCTCCCTGAAGATTTTCCCATTCTTTAAGACAGTCCAAAATCTTACCTTCTTAAAGGTCACTGATAACTGCTTTTTCTGAACCTGTCCTAAAGTACCTATAATAGTTTAAAATACATGACTTGTTCTATGAATACATATTGTTTTGTTGTTTTCTAATTGTGTCAAGTTCTTAATCAGATTGTGACTTCTCAAGCAGGGCTAATTCTTTTATATTCCCAAAGCACCTAGCACTGATGTGAACTGGGAAGGATGGGTAACGATATCCCCAAAATACTGCATCTTTCTCATTCTGGCCCTGTCTCCTAGGAGAGCAGCCCTTAACTTCCGAACTTGGGCATGGAGACGTGAGAATCTGATAAAAGTTATGGATCCATTTTGCAGAAAAATGCGCATAAAGGCATATAAAATGTGTGTACTTTCAGAATGCTAATGACCCTAATATATATTTTTCAAAAATACATTTTATTGAAATACAATTTATGTACAGTGAGATACACAAAACTAAAGTGACATGGGAAGACTGATATTTCTAATCAGGTTCTCATTCTTCACTGTCTGTGAAACCCTTCCACCTCCTCCCCAAGAAAGGAAACAGATTACTAAGGGCTTACTATTTGGGAGGTTGGGTACCAAACTAAGTACAGGTGGTCTCTAATGATAGGGGATCCATTATGGGGACTTCCTCGCAGGTCTGACAAGTCAAATACCTTTTCCCCCCCCATTACAGCATTACTTCCTTTTTTTTTTTTAAAAAAAAAAAAGTCAGTATCTTCATAAATCTTAACACTGAACATCTGAGAGCAGTGTCAGATTACCCAATAAGCAGGGCAAGTACAGGCTTACCTGTGCTGACGATAGTGCGTAGTGAACAAATTCATGTTTTTTTCACCACATCAAAGATTCTGTTTTAGGTATGGCTGGCATCTGTCTCTCTAACCCCACAGCCCCTTCCTACAGAATCAAAGCCTCTTAAAATTTACAATCCCTGACAGGGTTGGAGTACTCAGTTAAGTAAGGTAAGCACAGGTTTACTTGTGCTTACTTAATTGGGAGCTCTGGTAGTATAGTGGCTAAAGCACTTGACTGCTAACCAGAAAGCTGGCGGCGGTTCAAACGCACCAGCCACTCCTCGGAAGGAAGATGGGGCAATCTACTTCCCTAATGAAAATGCCTCAAGAAACCCAAGGAGGGGTCAGACTCGACCGCACATAACAACAACAACAACAACACTTAATCTGTTGCAAACAATTTCACCACATCGAAAATGTGTAACTCTTCACTACTAAGCACAAGTAAAGCCGTGCTTACCTTGCTTATTGGGTAATCTACCCATGACTGACGTCTGAAAATGATTAACATTAGCAAAAACATGCTGCAACACTGTGTTGAGTACGTACTCCTAACGATAAAATGTACAAAATAATCTCCTAAAAATCAAATGATAATTGCAGTTCTTCCTAACTGGAATACCTCGTAAATTCGGGACCACCTGTATTCAGTCAGCCCAGACGGCTAGTACATCCTCCACTTAAGAGGCGTGGTTAATTAGCCCAAGGTCAGGCAGCTAGTAACGGATCACGCCGGGGTTCGACCCCACGACTAATGGCTCTAAAACCCTTTTTTTAAACCAATAATCAACGCTACTTCAGAGTCCACCTTTTCATAATACGTAATGTTCCAGTATTTCTTCGGTTTCAAATAGATGATTGCATATGACCCTTAACATCCGGTGAAGCAGGAGACGATGACGAAATCGAGGGTCACAGAAATTGGGTTCCTTGTCTAACAGAAATGCATTTAAGGGGCCGAAGTAGGATTAGAATCTAGAGATCTCGCTGCCGTGCTAGACTCCCGTTCATTTGGGTCGCCCAAACGTTTCTCCCCTGCTTTACACCGTCTTCACCTCACTGCGGACTGGCTCAGAAGGCATCTGAGCACCACCCACGACCAGCTGCAGGAGGGCCAAGACTTGTCTTTTTTGGAGACTGGGGCGTAGAAGAGATTAAATAGGGAAAACTGCCAGTGGCCTCATGGTGCCGCCAGTGGAGAGCTCGCGGGCGCCAAGAATCTATGCTTTACTTTTCTTCCCCTTTACCCTCCAGAGCTGCTCCCCGTCCCACTACCTGTGCAGTGAACTGCGCCTTCTGCTGTTCGGCCGCCACAAGGCGCTGCAATTCCGCTTCATCTGCCTCACCCAGCTCCGCCATTGTCCATAAACCGCAGCACCTTCCGACAAGTGCGCGTGCGCATGCGCATGCGCAAGAACGGCTGGCGCGCGCCGCCTCTGCCGACTTCCGGTGAACCCAGGTTTCTTTTTCCTTGTTTTCTTTGCGAAGTAGGCGTTGATACGCAACTGCTTCCGGGTTGTTGGGTGACCTTGAGACCTAAGAACTGAGATGGCGGTTTTCTGGAGGCTGAGTGTCAGTTGCGGTGCCAAAGGAGCCCGAGGTGAGGCATCCTGACCGCCGAAGGTGCTTAGCGCAACTTTTAGCGGGGGAAGGGAGGAGGGCGAGGGATCGTCTGCAGAATGGTGAGACTTCTGGAGGAGAGGGGAATCCCTCCTTCCCTTCGGTTGCTCTGGGACCTGCTGGAAACTACTGCAATGACCGTTGTCCCCCAAGGACCCAGATGTTAACCTGAGAGTATCTCACGTATTCTGTGCTGACGTGGTGAGCAGATAATCTGAAAAAGAGCTGTTTCTGTAAGTCATTGCCCTGAAGAATCACATACCTCATAGGCGTTCTCCTTTTTTCCCCATGCACTGTCCTTCGAATGCTGACACCCGAATCTGAAAGTAGGGTTAGGGTCTGAGGCCCAGTGCCTGGTTTGCCCATTTCTCTTGTGGTGTGTGAGTGTTGGGGTGGGGAGAAAAGTTCGATAATTATTTAACTGGACATTTGTGGTATACCAGACACTGTTGTCTGCTAGAACAACAAATGGACTACTAAAAGAACTAATAGATCTGTCCTGGAAGAAGTGCAGCCTGCATGCTCCTTGGAAACGAGAATGGCCAGACTTCGTCTCACCTACTTTTGTAATGTTATCGGAAGGGGCCATTCCCTGGAGAAGTATGTCATGCTTGGTAAGGTGGAGGGTCCATAAAAGAGGGGAAGGCTCTCAACGAGATGGAGTGACAACAGTGACTGCAGCGATGGGCTCAAGTATAGCAGGGATCGCGGAAATGGCGCGGGACCAGATGGTGTTTCATTCTGGTTCTGCTGTGCATATAGGGTCGCTGTGAGTCGGAGACGACTCCACGGCACCTAACAACACAACAGACACTGTTGTAAGATTGAGCTACAAGTGTGAATGAAACTTGCTTCCTACTCTCAAAGAACTATCATTATTATAGGGAAAAACACATGATTATTTAATTTTAACATAAAATGAATGATTGTGCTGTGCACAAGAGTCCAGAGAAAGAGCATCAATTTAGTTCTGTGTTTTGGAAGGAGTCTCTGGGTGGCTCTCAGCTACTAACTGAAGGGTCCCAACGGCACCTTGCAAGAAAGGTTTGGCCATCTACTTCTGAAAGATCACAGCCATTGAAACGCTATGGAGCACAATTCTATTCTGACACACATGCGATCTCCATGAGTCAGAATGACTGGATCACAACTGTTTGTTTGTTTTGGTGTGATTATCTTGTCTTGGTTCCTGAAGAGGGTATGCCTGGTCTGAGTGTTGAAGATAAGGAAGGACAAGAGAATAAAAACATTGTAATTAGAGCTATTGTGATTAGCAAAAGCAGTGATAACCAGTGACTGTCAAGTTGATACCGACTTATGGTGTCCCAGGAGTGTCAGAGTAGAACTGTGCTCTCTAGGGTATTCAGTTGCAGATTTTTCAGAAGTAGATTGGCAAGCCTTCCGAGCAGCCTCTAGTGTATTTGAACCTCCAAACTTCTGGTTAGTCGTGGAACACCTTAACAGTTTACATCTCCTAAGGACCCCAAAGCAATGATGGAAGTTTTGAAACAGCATGACATGAGGAAGAAACAAAATAAATTGGATAGTATTAGAGCTTCAAGATTAAGGTGAGGAATGATCAATCTGGAGAGAACCACATCAAAAAGGATTTACTAGTCTGGATAAGGAGTGTGGACTTGGTTTGTGAAGGGGAGCCTTTGAAAGTTTTGACCTAGATTTGCCATTTAGATAGATTATGTTGGTAGCAGTATGGTAAGTAGTGATGATGGGAGAAGGGGCAGGCTAAGACTGAAGTTAAGGAGACAAGTTAGGATCTTGTGATAGTTGTCCAGGCAAGGATGGTAAAGTCCTGAATTTAAAAAGTAGTGGGAAGAGGAGAAGATAGTCTCAAGAAACATTAAGAGATACGTCAGTAGAACTTAGTGATTGAATTTAGAGGGAAAGTCCTACATGACTTCCAAATTTCTGGACTAAAAAGTGGCTGGAGGTGTTATTAAATAAAGTGGGAAACATACAAATGGCAAATGTGTCTTGGACAAGAAAGTAAGTAGAAGGATGATTTAAGTCTTAGGCATGGTGAATTTGAGAAGCATGTAAGGTATGTCAGTGAAGAGGCCCAGCAGGCAGATAAGCTTCTGATACTTTGAAGAGAGATCAGAGCTAGAGATACAGATTTGGGTGTCATCAACTTGTAGGCAGTAGCTATAACCAGAAATGGCCTGTAGTGGACAAAGGGATCAAGGAGAAAAATGGACAGAGCTGAGAAAGCCAACATTTAATACTGAATGCAGGAAGAGACTGATAAAGGATGGTCAGAGAAGCAGAAGAACTAGAAGGGAGTTATATCATAGAAAAAAGAGGAGGAGCCACCTATGCCAGGTGATGCAGAGAGGCTCAATAAGATGAAGATGGAATAGTACCTATTGGATATTACCACATGAATCATTGGTGACTTACCAAAACGGATTTGGTGAGGATAAAAACTTCCAGAGCATTGAAGAATGATTGGGAAGCAAGGAAGTGGAGATGATTTGGACAGCATTTTCAAGAAGCATGGCATGAAAGAGAAGGAAGAAAGACAAAAAGGGAGAGAGTGCATGGGAATTAATTAGACAGAAGACATGGAATTAAGGGAAGAATTGAGTATGTTATATGAGTTGAAAATGGCCAGTGGGGAGTAATGAGAAGTTCAAGACACAGGAAAGAATAAGAAGCAATTGCCTTTTGTTGAATGTTTGTAACATTCTAGGTAAGGGTAGTAATAGTTCAGTGGTAGAATTCTTGCCTTCCGTGTGGGAGATCTTAGTTCAGTTCGTGGTCAGTGTATCTCATGTGCAGCCACCACTTGTCTGTCAGTGATGGTTTAGTGTGTTGCTGTGATGCTGAACAGATTTCAGTAGAGCTTTCAGACTGAGACAGACTAGGAAGAGGGGCTGGAGATCATCTTCCAAAAATCAGCCTCTGAAGACCCAATGGATCACAGCTATCATATCCACATCTGATGATGAGGATGGCGCAGGACCAGGCAGTGTTTTGTTCCATTGTGCATAAAACTCCCATGAGTCAATTCAGCAGCAGCTAATAACAACAACATAACATTGTGGGAATTACACTGAACACTTTGCATACATCATTTTATTTCCAACACAATATTGTAAAATAATATTTCCATTTTACAAATGAGGAATTTGAGGCTTAGAGAGCCTGCTTAAATTGCCTCTTGTAGCTGGTAAGTAATGGACAAGAGTGAATGTAGGTTTATTTTTTTAACCAAGAGGCAGGGTCCAAAAGGGACAGGACGGGATGGGTTCAAGAGTACATTGGAGGAAATGGTTTTGAAAAGGAAGAAGGTAATAAATGAACTTCCCAAACTAGATTAAATTTCTTCAGCACAAGGACTTTTGTCTTTGGTTTCTTTTGCTTCAGTGTAGACCACAGTCTTGTGTGTAGTAAATGTTTGTTGAATGAGTAGGTAGAAAGGCACTACTATTTGTTTTTAAAAAAATTAAAGTGAGACCCTTTTACAAAAATGATTAATTGATTCTTCAGTCTATTAATAGATATTTAACCATGCCTTATTGCTCTGGTGGTATACTGGTTAAGGCATTTGGCTGCTAACCAGGAGTTTGGCGGTTCAAACGCACCAGTCATTCCATAGAAGAAAGATTTGGCATTCTGCTTTCATAAAGATTTACAGCTTTGGAAACCCAATGGAGGTCGCTAGGAGTAGGAAAGGACTCGATGATGATGAGTTTAGTTTGGTTATAACAACCCAGTGAAATAAGTATTATCCTCATTTTACAGATGAGTTGTTATCCCTTATTTTTGGACTTTAGTGATTTGCCCTTGGTCATTTCAAAAGTCTGTTAACGCTGGTAAAAGTAGAGGTATTTATGACTTCCCTAATTTTTCTTTCCTCAGCTCTGTTCCTCCGGACCCCAGTAGTCAGACCTGCTCATGTCTCAGCATTTCTCCAGGACCGATCTACCCCAGGAGTGCAGCACATTCACCTGTCCCCCAGCCACCGTTGTATGTTCTCTTCATTGCCATTCTTTCTGGGCCCTGGCCATCCTCTCTGGGCTAATAATCATGCCTTTGGCAGGACTTGGAATTTATTTGGGAGACTCAGGTTTAACTGTGGCAAATGAAGATCTACCCTACAAATTTGGGTGGACAATGCCAGTATAGTTGAGTGATGTCATTACAACTCGTGAAGCTTTTGATCTAAGTCTTTTTAAAACTTTATTTTTTTAAAACAGTGACTCTGTAGGAAGAGTCTGTCTGTTCAATAGAGTTTAGTCACTTTTAACTAGCTAATGAAGAGGAACCAGATATGGATAATTTAGAATAGTATACAATTTAAAAAGTTTTATGTTGTAGAATGCATATAAGCAGTTGACTGCTTATTTTTATTTAGGTTGCTGCTAAAATCATGGTATTTCCTAGGTGAATTTTATTTAGATATTATTAAAGTTTGTCTTAGAACTGTAGGTAAATAATTGAATTAACTGTATGTGTACTTTTAAAGTCTAGAGATGTGAGTATTTTACAGAGAAACAGATTTTTCTTGATTTTCATAGTCAACCACTTATATAGTTACATCTGCATTATGAGAGATTAGGCAAATATAGTGCTTTTAATATTATTTATCTTTGAAAGTCTTTTTGTCTTTGCTTAGTTCAGTTAGATTTGGCAGATTGAATTTAATTTGGCAGGAGGAGGTTCTCGGGGCTGCAAGAAATCATCTGAAGTTATATGTGTAGTTTTTTATATATGTATATTTTCTAGGAAGAAGCTCTATCCCTTTTATTAGGTTCCTACTAGCAACAGTCAGTAAGTGACACCAACTGTAAAAACGGCAAGGAGGCCACATGTTCTGACCTCCTCTAATCTCACAAGAGGAAGACAGCAATAACCCAAGGCCTATTACTGCAAGGCCAAACATGCTGCCTCCCTCCAGCCCTCTCACCAACCGTTCCTCCCAAAGCACCCACCACCTCTCTCCTGGGTTTGATAATTTGCTGCAGTGGCCACACAGAACTCACAGATTATGGGGTTTATTAGGGAAGCACCAGGCTACAACTCAAGTTCAGAAAGAACGTTCAGTCTCTCTCCCAGTCCATGTCCCTCAGCCAACAGTCTCTCAGTCTCTTTCCCAGCAGTACTGGTCCCTCGGTGTCTCACTCAGCGATGCGTGTCTCTTGCGTCTCTTTCCCAGCAGCATATGTCTCTTTCAGCAGCACGTCTTCCTCAACCAGCAGTCAGAGAGCATTCTGCCTCCAGGAGACTTCCTTTTGAGCCCGGCAGGGTGGCCAAACTAGCCAATCATAGCATCAGAACTCTAAGCACCTGAGAGAGAGTAGGCACCTCCCAGAACACTGTTTTGTGCCACTCCCAACAGAAATACTCCAGGTGGACAACTTCAGCAATCAGGTGCTCCTCAGTTGCTCATAGAAAATCCCACCTTGGAGTTTACAAAGACTTATGGGTAGAAAAGCCGCACTAAATAATTTACTACACCACAGTTCCCAAAGGGGCCTATAACTGAAAACAGAGCCTCTCAAAGAAATGTTTAAAATCCATATGGTTTTTCACTTTTTTGAGAGAAAATTTCATGTTCCGTATCAGTTTGGAATTATTTTTAAGCAATGGGACAGAAGGACCATGATCTTATAATTGAATCAGGATTTTGCTTCTCCCTGAGTTGAATGATTTAATTTTGTATTGAGATAATTGTTAATGTTCATTACTTCCAAAGAGTATAAGGTGTAAGTAGACAAGTAATATTTTAAAGGAACTCAGATATAATTCACTTCTATTCACAAGGTGTCTGCCCACATCACTGAAGTCCAAGATTGGCTTAACTGCAAAGATTTCTCATCCATATAAACAAAATGGCTCTGTCTTCTAATTCAGAAATGAGGGCATTGAGACACTCTTGTGCCAGAAGACTTCAAAGAAGGGAGATAACATCTCTCTGAGTCACTTGTTTTTATATCTTACTCTGTATGGGCTTAAAGTTAAATTTACATGCATGCTGTTACCTATTCTGTCAGTTTGGGTTATTTTCTAGCAAATACTGAACATGGGAGGTGTGTATTTCCCTCCTCATCTCTTTTGAATTTGGTCCTCTTTATAGCTGGTGGCAAGGCTGCATCTCTTCACTGGAGTGGTGAGAGGGTTGTCAGTGTTTTGCTCCTGGGCCTGCTCCCAGCTGCTTATTTGAACCCTTGCTCTGCGATGGACTATTCCCTGGCTGCAGCCCTCACTCTCCATAGTAACTGGCAAGTACAACTGAATTCTTCTTCCTTCAGTACCATTGGATCTTGATCATATGCCACCTCCTGAAATGGATGAACATTGACCAATTCTTTTTAGTATAGTGACTCTGTGTATTCCTTCCATCTTTTCATGTTTCCTGTGTGGTAGTTAAATTTGTATGTCAACTTGACTGGGCCTGGTTGAGTGGCTGGGCAGCTGGTGGTAGTTATTCCCCATGATGAGACTGGCAATCAGCTCCATGGTGGGATCTGCTACAAGCAGCTGAGTAGCTGCCTTTGGGATGTGGTCTGCTTCCTGTATATAAGGAGAAGCCTTGAGGATAGTCTCTAGCTTGTGGCATGCTTGGACCCTGCATGTAGCCGTATCATGGTTCAGCAGCCTGCCATGCTCTGCCAACGTTGGGACTTACAGTGGACTTAAATTAATGGCCTGTTGTGTGGTATGGTAACATTGGGACTGTGCATTTTTACTTTTCATCCTTGAGTTTGTCAGCTTCAGCAGCTAGGATCTGTGTGAGTGAAGAAACACCTCTAGCTCCAGTGGGCTGGGAGCAGGAGGCAGAGCTGGACCCCAGTGTTGAGGGGCTTTCACCCAGTCCCTAGAGCCTGGCACTTTGAACTTGGACTCAAAGCCTCCAAACTATAAGAGAATAAACCTCTGTTTGTTAAGGCCATCCCATTTGTGGTATATTCCTGTCAGAGCAGCACTAGGTAACCAAAACATCTTGGGTAATTCAATATTTTGCCCATAGAATCTTTCAATATTGCAACTCGAAGCTTGAATTTTTTCTTCATTTCTTTCAGCTTGAGAAATGCCAAGCATGTTCTTCCCTTTTGGTTTTCTAACTCCAGGTTTTTGCACATTTCATTATAATAATTAACTTTGTCTTCTTGAGCTGCTCTTCAAAATCTTCTGTTTAGCTCTTTTACCTTGTCATTTCTTCCATTTGCTTTAGAGGAAGTTCAGAGTGTCTTCTGACATCCATTTTGATCTTCCTTTCCTGTCTTTTTAATGACCTTTTGTTTTCTTCATGGATGATGTTCTTGATGTCATCCCATAGTTCCTTTGGTTTTCAGTCACTGGTGTTCAGTACATCAAATCTATTCTTTAGATGGTCTCTAAATTCAGGTAAGATATAATCAAGGTCATATTTTGGCTCTTGTGGACTTGTTTTAATTGTCTTCAGCTTCAACTTGCATATGAGCAGTTGATGGTCTGTTCCACAGTCAGCTTCTGGCCTCGTTTTGGCTGAAGACATTGAGCTTCTCCATCACCTCTTTCCACAGATGTAGTCGCTCTGATCCTGTGTACTTCCTCGAGTGAAGTCCACATGTATAGCTGCCGTTTATGTTATTGAAAAAAGGTATTTGCAATGAATAAGTCGTTGGTCTTGCAAAATTCTATCATGCCATCTCCAGCGTTTTTTCTATCACTAAGGCTATATTTTCCAAGTTCTGGTGATTCTTCTTTGTTTCCAACTTTTGCATTCCAATCAACTGTGATAATCAACACATCTTGATTGTACGTTTGGTCAATTTCAGACTGCAGAAGTTGGTAAACCAAGTCTTCCATTTCTTCATCTTTGGCTTTGGTGGTTGATGTGTAAATTTGAATAGTAGTAGTATTAACTGGTCTTCCTATTTCCTATCACTGACAGCATTGTACCTCTGCATAGATCTTGAAACATTCTTTGTGATGATAAATGCCATGCCATTCCGCTTTAATTTGTCATTCCCAGCATAGTAGATCATATGGTTGTCTGATTCAAAATGACCAAAACCAGTCCATTTCAGCTCACGAATGCCTAGGATATTGATTTTTATGTGTTCCATTTCATTTCTGACAACTTCAGTTTTCTTAGATTCTTACTTTGTACATTCCATGTTCCACTTATTAATGGATGTTTGCAGCTGTTTCTTCTCATTTTGAGTCATGCCACATTAGCAAATGAAGGTCATGAAAACTTTACTCCATCCATATCATTAAGGTCATGTCTACTCTGAGGAAGCAGCTCTTTCCTAGTCATATTTTGAGTGCCTTCCGACCTGATGGGCTCATCTTTTGGCACTATACTGGACCGTGTTTCAGGACTATTCATAAAGTTTTCCAGTAACATATTAGGCAGTGTTTCACTGCTATTCATAAGGTTTTCACTGGCCAAATCTTTGAGAAGTGGATGGCCCCTTCCTTCTTCTGAGTCTGTCTTAGTCTGGAAGTTTCCCTGAAACCTGTCCCCCATGGGTGAACTTGCTGGTACTTGAAATACCAGTGGTATAGCCTCCAGCCTCATAGCAACATGCAAGCTACCACAGTACAACAAACTGACAAGTGGTCAAATTTTACATGTATGTACTTAAAAAAATGTATAATTTTTAATATAAATTTATATAATTTTACATATATATAAATACAAATACTTTGTACATATATATGTATATACATATGTATACATATGTTCTCCAAGAAAATTGAAAACGTGTCCACATAAAAACATGTATATGAATATTCATAGCAGTATTATACTGGCTTAAAAGTGGAAACAACCCAAAATTTCTTTAACTGATGAATAGATAAACAAAAAGTGGTATATTCATATAATGGAATATTATTTGGCCATCAGAAGAAATAAAGTACCAATACATGCTACAACATGAATGAACCATGAAAACATTATGCTAAATGAAAGAATCCATTCACAAAAGGCCACAAACTGTGTCATTCCATTTATGTGAAATGTCCACAATAGGCCAGTTCATAGAGACAATAGACTAGTACTTGCTAGGAGCTGGTAGGGAGGAGATTATAAGGGGTACCTGCTAATGGGTACTGAGTTTCTTTTTGGGTTAACGAAAAATTGTGAAATTAGATAATCGTGATAGTTGCACAGCTCTGAAGTTGCTAAAAACCACTGAATTACACACTTTTAAAGAATGAATTTATGGTATGTAGATTATAAAGCTGTTATTCAAAAGGTAAATTAGATCATTCCTTATTTTGGTCACTTCTTTGCTTAAAACACATCACTGTTTTCCCATTATATTTCATATAAAACTCAAATTCCTTATCATGGCGTTTAAGGCCCTACAGGACCTGCCCCTGCCTTCTTCTCATCTCTACTTTACGCATGTGCTCCAGCCACAATGGCCTTTTTATTATTCATCAAAGATGTTCAGATCATTGTCACTTTTCTTTGCAGTGTTCTAATTCTATCCTGTTTAAAATATTTTTCATTTTAACTTTTTATTGTCATTTGGGTGAAAGTTTACAGAGCTAAATTGGTTTTCCATTCAACAATTCATATACCTTTTGCTTTGTGACGTTGATTGCAATCCCTGCAATGTAATAGCACTCTTCCCACTTTCTCCTTGTGTTTCCTGTTTCCATTTGTCCTTTTTTCCTATCCCTTCCTGCCTTCTGAACTTCATCCCTGGGCAAATGCTGCCCTTTTGTTCTCATATAATCGATTGTTCTAAGGAGTACATACCTTCTCAGTGTTATTGTTCACCTTGTAGACTGCCTGTTGCTTGGCTTAAAGTTGAGCCATGGGGTGATGAGTTTAATTTCAGGCCTGAAGGGTGTCTGAGGCCTTATTCTCAGGTGTTCCTCCAGTCTTTATGAGACTAGTAAGCCTGGTCTTTTTTATGATCTTGAGTTTTGTTTCATATTTTTCTCCTACTCAATCCAGGATCTCCTATTGTGTGATCCCCTTTCAGAGTGGTTGACAGTGGTAGCTGGGCACCATCCAGTTCTTCTGGTTTCAGGGTCATGGAGGCTGTGGTTCCTATAGTCTTTTAGTCCTTTGGATTAATTGTTTCCACGTGTCTTTGATTTTCTTCAACTCTATTTTGTTCCACATGGGGAGAGACCAACAGTTACACCTTAGATGGCTGCTAAAATATGTCTTTAAAAGCACATACCTATTTACTTTTTCTTATACTTTCACTAGAGTATTTATTCCATAAGAGCAAGGATGTTGTCTTATTTACTGTATTCCAAACATTTATAACAGGGTCTGGCATATAATAATATCCGCTCAATAAATATTCTTTGAATTAATGAAAAACTCCATAGAGTGTTTCTTTTAGTTTGAAAAAAAAAGATTTTGTAAATAGACATTACTGTGTCTCATACTGAGACCCTGAAAAATCAAATCCTAAGAATAGGAAGATTATTTACTATATTATTAGGAAACTCTTGTGTCTTTTCTTTTGATTTATGATTCTTATTACTGTGACTTGCTTTGGATTAGCATTAAAAAAAGAATAGAAAAAATTTCATCTATAAAAATAGCTATACGAACTCTCCTGAAGTAGCAGACATTTATAAGAGTGACAGATAGGGAGAGACATTGCATTTTGAATGTGGGTGATTATTTTTTGTAACCTTCTAGCTTCACTTGTGATTTTCATTTGTATTATGATTTTTAATTTCAATTTTTTTATTTTTTTTAGGGGCCTTGGACAAGTTGTTACTGACTATGTCCATGGGGATACATCACAGAAAGCAGCCAAGGCAGGCCTCTTGGTACTCTCTGCTTTAACCTTTGCTGGTCTTTGTTATTTTAACTATCATGATGTAGGTATCTGCAAAGCTGTTGCTATGCTGTGGAAGCTCTAACTTTGACATACCTTAATGATTGTACACCTCTTTGCCTCTGCTCTGTCATGCCATTCATCTGACAATGAGGAGAAAATAGCAGATACTTCCATTGATGAGACAGCCCTCTTCTCCTACTCACATGATTACTTTCAGAATTTAATCTTTGAGGAAAAAGTTTGAGAGTTATATTCACAAAATAGTGAGACTGAGTCCTATGTTCTGATGAGATAATGAGATTATCTCCTAACTTCTCACATGAGTCACAGTATAACTAAACATTGTATATGAGCTTTTGCCTTATAATGTATCAGTCTCTTAATGGGAATTCAGTTTATTACTATCAGTACATTATGATCAAACCTCTGCTATATTTGTTCTGGCAATGATAGACAAGGGCAAAGACTGTTAACTCATAAATAAAGATTTAGCAGACACTTAGACTGTTTAATTTTGAAAACTTACTCCTCTATTCCATTGATGCCAGTGACTGATGGTTACATATCCTAGGGAAAGTTTAAAATTAGAAAATGCTGATATCGCACAGTACTAATTTCTAAATCCTAGAAGGAAGAGCTTAGAGAATTTTTGAATATGAAAGTTCCATTTAGAGAAGAGGTCCCCTTGTAGATATATTAAAATATTGTAGATTTTCAATTGAGACTTAGACTTCAAATGTCTTAAATAACCTGCCTATAAGTATAGAACTACGAAGTACCAGACTGTTATTTTCTTACTTTGGCCATCTTTAATGTGAAGATGTATTTGATGAAAATAAAAAAATTTAATAAAATGCTACATAATAAAAGTGTATTCTAGTGTATTATGTATTAACTGTTTCTGGTTTTAAAATCTTTAGGTGGTGCACACAGTTAAGTCTTTGATTACTGTTTGAAAGGCTGGCAGTTCAAACCCACCCAGAGATGCCTCAGTGGACAGGCCTGGCTGTTTGCTTCTGAAAGGCCACAGCTTTGAAAACCCTTGTAGAGCAGTTCTTTGGAATTGATTCGATGGCCACTAATAACAATAGAGATTAGAGCTACGTCCAGATTGTGGTGTTTTGTCAGTGTCAGCATGCAGATTTCAAATTATGTTCTGTATGCATTTGGTCTAGTCTAAGAGGAGTTGTCATGGGAGGGAAAGCTGAAACTTGCCATAGCAATGACTGGGCAGCTAAGACAACTATTGAAGCTGACTAGAAGAGCTGAGTCCAAAGGGTAAGTGTCCATTAACGTCTGTCCAAAAAACCAAACTCGTTGGTGTCAAGTCAGTCCTGACTCATAGCTACCTATCGTAGGGTTTCCAAGGTGGTATCTACAGAAGTAGATTGTCCAGTCTTCCTTCTGAGGAGTGGCTGGTGGGTTTGAACCACCAGCCTTCTGGTTAGCAGTCAAATGCCTCAGGCACTACACCACCAGAGCTCCTATTAACATCTATAGTAGGGGGCTAAAGATAAATTTCTCTAGGTGCTTATGGTCGTTATAAGAAATCAGATATGCATGAAGAGTTTGGGAAGAGGTGATTGATTCTGATTTGGATGTGGGTTAGAGGAAGTTTCAAAAGGGAGTGATGCCTGAATAGCAGTGGTATACCAAGAGGTGAGGGCACCAGTCAGGCCTGGCAGGTAGGATTATTTTATTACTGACATTGTTTAGAATTACTTGTGTACAATGATGATAAAAGCAGACTGATACTTGGTTTCTTTTATTGTTTTTGAATTCCTCACATACATTGCTCACCCTTAGTGTTGTTCCCACCTACCTCCCACCCCTGTTCACCACTGCTATATGATAGAGTGAAATGATATTTTCCATATTGTCACAGTGTGGTGGGCAGTGATTCTGGATAATAGGAGAATCCTGTAGCTATCAATGATGCCATAAGTCCTATCTTAGGTCCAGAAGGGTGTCTACTGCTAATAATCTTCATTAGCTGGTAAACTGAGAAGTCAGAGTGAAGGTTGGTTGGGTACTGACTGCCCTAGATCCCCAGTTGGTTTGATAATTGGGATAGAGCTGACCTGCCATTTCGGGAATTCAGTGGATTGCTATGAGGTACTAGAGCAGCAAGAAAATGAGGCAGAGGCTAATAGTAGGTTTCTGAGGTGGTTGCAGGATATGACATTAGGAAGGACATAGGCCCCTGGGTAGAGCAAGCGGTTTGTACTTGACTAACTGAAAGGAGGTAATTCAAACCCACCTGTACAGATTATAGCCAAGAAAACTCATTGGAGCAGTTCTAGTTTATAATACATGGAGTTTCTATAAGTAATTGGCTCAGTGGCAAAGGTTTAGGAATTTACATTTAGGAATGTTGGTAAGCCAGAGGTAAAAGGAGTTCTAAAAGGTTAGAGATGTTGTTGTTGTTATGTGCCACCGAGTCGGCCCCGACTCATAGCGACCCCTCCTTGGGTTTCCGAGGCAGTATCACTACGGAAGTAGGATCGCCCAACCTTCCTTCCAAGGAGTGGCTGGTGGGTTTGAACCGCCAGCCGTCTCCAGAGCTCCCCAAAGGTTAGAGATAGAAGTAGGAAACTGAACTTTGACAGTGACAGAGGAAAGTAGGAGTCAACTTCAAAAGATATTGTGGAAGTTAACAACATTCAATTAATATTAAGTATGGCAGGTAATTGGCACTGTGCCAGGTACTGTGGTTAAAGAGAGAAGTTTCTCTCCGCCCTTAAATTCTTAGTCTAACTAGGGTAACAGGTAAATGATTGTAATACAATGTGGTAAGTGGTGTAATAGTTAAGTACATAGTACACAGTGATGTAACAAAAGGAGAGATAAGACTTTGCCTGCAAGTTTCCTAGAAGAGATTTCTTAATCGACGTTCTGAAAGATAAGGAATTAACAGGTGGCCAAGGAAGCTGGGGTGAGGTATGAGGATGACTGGAGGATGGTATATCAAGCAGAGTACATGTAATTTGGTATGACTGCAGCATAGAGGGGGACGATTGTAGAGGGCTTACATGCCTCAGTAAGTAATTGATACTTTATTTCATTGGCAATGAGGAGACATTGTTAATTATGCAAATGATTTTTATTTTACATGGGTTATGCTGGCAGCTGTGTGCAGTATGGATGTGAGGAAAAGAAACGTGGAAATGGAGAGTAGTGGTCCAGAAAAGAATGCTGAGTTCTAAAGGCAGTAGTAGCTGGAATGAAGGAGAGAAGTTCAAGAGAGATTTAAAATGTAGAAAATAGAAATTATACTAGGCTTTAAAAGGGATAGTCTAGGGTCAATTTTTTGTCTTGTGATCAGGCAGATGGAAAGTGGTGTCACTAATTAGAGTAATGAGAATTTCTGAAGGAAAATTAGATGGTGGATGTTGTGGAGAGAATAGGTCACTACTGAAGTTTTAAATCTGAGATATCCAGGAAGAGCGAGGATCTGTAGATACCTATTTCTGGCAATATGGCAGACTAAGTTAAAAAATATTTTGTTATGAAGCATCTAAGAATGTTAGATGAATAATAGCAAAGACATGCTTTAATATGTGTGGCTGAGCTTGCAATAGGAAATTCTGAAGCCAGAAAAAAGTGAACATGCATTTAGAGAGGCAAGTAAATGCTATTGAGGACAGCTGTTGCTCTGGGAACATGGTAAATGACTGTTGTTGTTATGTGCTATCGAGTCAGACCCAACTCATAGCGACCCCTCCTTGAGTTTCCAAGGCAGTATCACTACAGAAGTAGATTGCCCCATCTTCCTTCCGAGGAGTGGCTGGTAGATTTGAACCGCCAGCCTTCTAGTTAGCAGTCAAGAGCCTTAGTCACTCTGTAAATGACTAGTAGCTTAGAATTCTGGTTTTAAGAAGCGACACAGAGGACAGGAGCAAAGCCTTGGACCCAAAGTAGGAAGTTAGATAGAGACTCCTTAAAACCAGAAGCCACAAAGAGTTTTACCCTCAAAGAAAGGATGATGAATTAGAAAAAATATTTTTACCTGAAAAAGCAACAGAGCAAGGAAATATGTTGTCTAGTCTTGGTTCTGGTTGGAGGAAAGTCTCCGCTGAGAAAATGTTGCCAATAGCCAGCTTTCATGCCACTTTGGGACCTGTGTTCATACTATTTGCATGGCCTGACAAAACCACATGCTGGGAACCTTGTGTTTACTGGGGTTGGTAGTGCCCTAGAAGCCTGGTGGGATTTGGGATTTCTTCACATTTTTTCTGGGTTTTTAATAATTAAAATGAGGAAGATTTTGCCCCTGTAAGCCTCTTAGATAAATATTTTGACTAATATTTTTGTAAAGTTTGAACCAATTTGTCATCATTTGGGTTATACCAATGTAAGTATTATAAGTCTGAAGGAGTTTGGGAGACACAAAGCAGGATGAAACAATTCTGACAAAACCAAAATCTTTCACATTACCCAGCCCTCAGTCCCTAATGAGGGCAGAGTGTTGTACTTTAAATCAGTCCTTAATCCAGAAATCAAATGAGCAATTCTCTTTATAATACTACTGCTAGTAAAGCTAGTCAAGGCTCTTGTATAGTAGCCTAAGAGCTTCTTTTAATTTTAAAAGTATTAACTTTTTTAGTATGAGCTTTAAACTTAACAAATTTGCTTTGGGTTTTGGATTTTCTTCAGCAAGACACTAATTTCTGTTTGTAATGTTTGGTTGAGGAGTCTGAGGAAGTTAAGAAGCCCCTTTACTTGCACAATATGCAGAAAGCATGAGCAATCTCAAAAGGGTATCTATAGACAGTACAGATATTAACTCTTAATCTTTTAGCCAGATGACATAAGGGGCTATCAATTCAGCTATCTATCTGAGCTATTGGTTACAAAATGTTCCAAAATAGAATATTTCAAAGTTACAGCTTATTTAGCACAAAGTAAATGTTGATTATTTCAAAGTTACTATTTTAGATAATAATATTATCTCAGAAAATATTACCTTAGGAAATAATATTTGATAATATTATCAAGTAATATGCATATCAAGGCTGTACAGGAGAATATCAGTCAAATTAAGACTGGACATGCTTAGAGTTTAAATAGCTATTGGACAAT